AAGAGTTCTTCCTTGTCTTCAGCTGCCATGGTCAATGATAAAGGTGGGATGGAGAAAGACCGGTTTGGCTGTCCTGATAATTGATTCTTGGGAATGAAATCCTGGCACAGTCCAAGGTGAATTACTGTGTGTACACAGGTAATGTCAAAAGCGTGAAGCTCACTAAACCTTGCCGTCGTGGCTAGTGCCAAAAAGGATATCATTCTCACGGTCAGGTTATAAAAGGATGTAGTTTGAAGGGGCTCAAAAGGGGGAGCACGCAAACACTGTCATTCAAATCCCATGCGGGAGGGTGAAACTTGGTTTTCTGATCTTCAAGGAACATGGGGTTAAAGGGTAAGATTATGCAAGGAAAGTGAATAAACACTTTAATAACCATAGGGAAGCAACTGCTTCAGCTGGACCTAACACAAGTTCTTCTTTCTGTCAAAAACAGTAAATGCATTTAGGAGAAATGCAGGATAAGATAAAAATTGAACTTTTATAGTCAGGTAACTCCATTGCCTTGGGAAGATTATATTGGGTTTTCTTTATTGAAAAACAAAACAACATATGCAATTTATTTTTGATGCTTTTATAGATAAAGAGAGTGTTTGTTAATTTGTGTAATCAAAACTTCAGGTTCCTGTGATTTCAGATAGTACTCAACTATTTAAAATCGTTCCATTTACTCTTGCAAAATATATGTCAGAACATTGGCAGCTCTAAGTACCTTGTAAGGGCAGAAGAGAAGGCCCTGAGAGACTCCCGAGTTGCACCCAGCAGAGCCTTCACCAGTGACAGATGGAGCAGGAAGATCCCATACTGCCCCACCAGACTCTCTATCAGCTTCACAGATTTCTGAAGGTGATCCTGAACACTCTCTGTGGACAGAAGCAACAGTCAATAGACAGTGACACACATTCCTCCAGACGATCCTGAACACTCTCTGTGGACAGAAGCAACAGTCAATAGACAGTGACACACATTCCTCCAGTCGATCCTGAACACTCTCTGTGGACGGAAGCAACAGTCAATAGACAGTGACACACATTCCTCCAGACAATCCTGAACACTCTCTGTGGACAGAAGCAACAGTCAATAGACAGTGACACACATTCCTCGAGACAATCCTGAACACTCTCTGTGGACAGAAGCAACAGTCAATAGACAGTGACACACATTCCTCGAGACAATCCTGAACACTCTCTGTGGACAGAAGCAACAGTCAATAGACAGGGACAAACATCCCTCCAGACAATCCTGAACACTCTCTGTGGACAGAAGCAACAGTCAATAGACAGTGACACACATCCCTCCAGACCAACTGAACACTCTCTGTGGACAGAAGCAACAGTCAATAGACAGTGACACACATCCCTCCAGACAATCTGAACACTCTCTGTGGACAGAAGCAACACTTAATAGACAGAGACACACATCACTCCAAACAATCTGAACACTCTCTGTGGACAGAAGCAACAGTCAATAAACAGTGACACACATCCCTCCAGACAGTCCTGAACACTCTCTTTGGACAGAAGCAACAGTCAATAGACAGTGACCCAATTAGGGCTGGGACGAGTCCAAATTTACTACCCGGGTACCCACCCCCCTTTTACCCGACCATACCTGTGTATCCACTGTAGGCCTCAGGAGATGTCTCAAAATGTCCGATTGGGAACATTTTTAGCATAGCCCTGGCAAAACGTATTTAGATACATGTATTAAACAATCTGGTCATTCATACACTGAAGTTGAATTAAGTTATATCTTTATTCAACCATATGAAAAATCAGAAGAAATCGGTACATAGTCAGAAAGAAATGCGAACATTAGTGACTTGAAGTGTAACCATAGAGTTCTTGATAATTTTTGTCATAAAACAATATATCACGTGACTAACCACATGTCCGGGTAGTCCTGTGGGTACCTGGGTCAGGTGGGTACTGAGTAGGACCCAGGTACCCACAGGACTACAGGTTACCCGAGTAACCCGTCCAAGCCCTAGACACAATCCTTCTTAAAGTTTGGTTGGTTGGTTTGTTGTTTAACGCCACACTCAGCAATATTCCAGCTATATGACGGCGGTCTGAAAGTAATTGAGTCTGGACCAGACAATCCAGTGATTAATATCATGAGCATTGGTCCACGCAGTTGGGATCAATGACATGCATCAAACCATGTCACCGAGCCTGACCACCCAATCCCGTTAGTCACCTCTTACGACAAGCATAGTCGCCTTTTACGGCAACCATGGGTTGCTGAAGACCTATTCTATCCCCCTTCTTAAAGGCAATGACACAGTTGGGTTAAACTTATAACAGTGTTACAGTTATATCATGATGCGTCAGTTTAAAGTGGGAGGAAAGCCTGAAGTGATCTGGTCACTGACACACAGCTCTCCAGACAATCCTTAACACTCTCTGTGGACAGAAGCAAGAGCCAATACACTCTGCACAGCGAATGGCAGCACCTTAGATGACTGGGCCACCCGTGGCCCTAACATGCAGTTGAACTCATATTTGGTGTTGTTCATATCTCATCTCAAGTTGATTCCAACAATTTGTTCCTCTCACACAATTCAGTTGATGCTTGTTGTTACCCTGTCTGATGCTCTGCATTAAGGGGATAAAACAAGGTCGCCTTCGAGTCAGTATACCAGGTCAAAGTAGTGTATCCATGTTAAACTGAGGCATGGTGTGTCAGCAGGTTAGCACTGTCAACAAGCATTAGTCTGGACTATGGCGTACACAGCCATACAGGTGCAATAATCTTAAACTTATCGTAAAAATCTAATTTCACCTCGCCTCGCCTCAACATTTATGCCTAATTAATTGAATTACTATGTATAATAAAGCTTGCATTTTTCTCAGTTCCTTAAACTCATTGTTCATACAATATTTACAAAAAGAATAATATCTAAGACTATTAAATTTCTTATTCTTTTTTCTTAGTTTGAACATTGTTTAAAATCATACTCTCTGAAAGTCCCACCTTGTGCTGTTCCAGCGTGAAAACACAGGAAAGACTCCACAGCCTGGATCCCAGAGCTCCAAGGACATGTAGGATGCATGTACTTGATGGCAGCAGCCCAGGCCCCAGCTGCCAGTGTGGCTTTCACTGGTGTCATCACACTGTAAATGAGTTGGTGAGTATGGTTTCATGTTGCTTTTAGCAATAATCCAGCAATATCACATCAGGGGACACCAGAAATGGGCTTTACACAGTGTAGTCATTTAGGGAACGAGCCCGGGGCTTCAGGTGTGGCACATGAATGCTTTAACTACTAGGCTACCCCACCTACCATGGGCCATCAATGTCAACTGTCAAGACGTCTTACCCTTGATCATACACACTGGCCATCAATGTCAACTGTCAAGACGTCTTACCCTTGATCATATACACTGGCCATCAATGTTAACTGTCAAGACGTCTTACCCTTGATCATATACACTGGCCATCAATGTCAACTGTCAAGACGTCTTACGCTTGATCATACACACTGGCCATCAATGTCAACTGTCACAAAGTCTTATCCTTGATCATATAAACTGGCCATCAATGTCAACTGTCAAGAAATCTTACCCTTGATCATATACACTGGCCATCAATGTCAACTGTCAAGGCGTCTTACCCTTGATCATACACACTGGCCATCAATGTCAACTGTCAAGAAATCTTACCCTTGATCATACACACTGGCCATCAATGTCAACTGTCAAGACGTCTTACGCTTGATCATACACACTGGCCATCAATGTCAAATGTCAAGAAATTTTACCCTTGATCATACACACTGGCCATCAATGTCAACTGTCAAGACGTCTTACCCTTGATCATACACACTGGCCATCAAGGTCAACTGTCAAGAAATCTTACCCTTGATCATACACACTGGCCATCAATGTCAACTGTCAAGACGTCTTACCCTTGATCATACACACTGGCCATCAATGTCAACTGTCAAGACGTCTTACCCTTGATCATACACACTGGCCATCAATGTCAACTGTCAAGACGTCTTACCCTTGATCATATACACTGGCTATCAATGTCAACTGTCAAGACGTCTTACCCTTGATCATACACACTGGCCATCAATGTCAACTGTCAAGACGTCTTATCCTTGATCATATACACTGGCCATCAATGTCAACTGTCAAGACGTCTTACCCTTGATCATATACACTGGCCATCAGTGTCAACTGTCAAGACGTCTTACCCTTGATCATACACACTGGGCATCAATGTCAACTGTCAAGAAGTCTTACCCTTGATCATATACACTGGCCATCAATGTCAACTGTCAAGATGTCTTACCCTTGATCATACACACTGGCCATCATTGTGAACTGCTGGAGGAGGACATCTTTATCCAGTTTCAGTGACCTTGACTTTGGCACAATGGTATCAGAGGCTTCTATATAGAGTCGAGACGCTTTCTGTGGTTCCTCGTTCTGAGCATAGAGTCTTGCTGCCTCGCTCAACAGCATAGCTCTGGCATTATCTGTTAAGAGAACACTGCAACTAAATCATTCATATGCTGACCACCTCCATGGTCTAGTGGATAGAGCATGTGCCCTGAGAGCAAGTTGAAGACTGTGGGTTCCATTCTCAGCCGCATCATACCAAAAGACAAAAAGATGGTACTTGTTGTTACCCTGCCTGGTGCTTGGCAGCAAAGGGTTAAAGGACAGGGGACACACGCACGCACGCAAACACACACATGTGGGAGGAAAGCCAAGACAATACAGATCTTAGATGTTTTACTAAGCATGGGAATTGTTCTGACAAACGGACAAAATCAGGCAAATCTGGGATTCAAAACCGAAGATTCAGATTCTTGCACAACTATGGGACACAATTCTGCAAAGTGAAATAAGTTGCCTTTGGGACTGAGCCACTCATGACCCATAGTGAGCAGGTTTTGATATTGATGACAAATTAAATGTGTATCCACAATCACCGGTTTCTGGTGTGACAAAAGGACACAAATTGTGGCGCCTTTAAACATCTTGGCTATCTGTGCCCCCAAATGTGTCAGAGGGCAAGTGCTTTGAGCATGTTTGATTTTATTGAGTCAACAGATGAAAAGAAAAAAAAAGTTTGGTCTCACTGGTTCTTGTTTCCGTCAATGCCAAATATTTTGACATTAGCTTATGATATAATCAATAATGTTATGATCGTGGCATTAATTAAAAATAAAAATAATCTCCTATTTTACTTAATTTTTATGGTCAGTGGATCTGTAAGATAGAATTGAGGCTTTGGACGAGTGTCTAAAGTTGCATGCTGACATAACATGGAACATATAACCACTGTGACAAACAAATAACTGGTTGCCAGACAACCAGATTCATAAACACAATGTAGAGAGGATAAACATACTCTCATTGCAAAGGAAGTCAATACTATTTGAAGAAATTACCTTCATTAGTTAGAGCAAGTCTAACAAAACATTCAGCAGCAAACTTCAAGTTTCCTCGAGCCCAGAACACATAGGGCAGTGCTTTGTCAAAGAAGACCTCAACCACAGCTGGGTATCTGAAACCAGAACACATAGGGCAGTGCGTCATCAAAGAAGACCTCAACCACAGCTGGGTATCTGAAACCAGAACACATAGGGAAATGCGTCATCAAAGAAGACCTCAACCACAGCTGGGTTTCTGAAACCAGAACACATAGGGAAGTGCATCATCAAAGAAGACCTCAACCACAGCTGGGTATCTGAAACCAGAACACATAGGACAGTGCGTCATCAAAGAAGACCTCAACCACAGCTGGGTATCTGAAACCAGAACACATAGGGAAATGCGTCATCAAAGAAGACCTCAACCACAGCTGGGTATCTGAAACCAGAACACATAGGGAAGTGCATCATCAAAGAAGACCTCAACCACAGCTGGGTATCTGAAACCAGAACACATAGGGAAGTGCATCATCAAAGACGACCTCAACCACAGCTGGGTATCTGAAACCAGAACACATAGGACAGTGCGTCATCAAAGAAGACCTCAACCACAGCTGGGTATCTGAAACCAGAACACATAGGACAGTGCGTCATCAAAGAAGACCTCAACCACAGCTGGGTATCTGAAACCAGAACACATTGGGAAGTCCGTCATCAAAGAAGACCTCAACCACAGCTGGGTATCTGAAACCAGAACACATAGGGAAGTGCTTTGTCAAAGATGACCTCAACCACAGCTGGGTATCTGAAACCAGAACACATATGGCAGTGCCTCACCAAAAGAAGACCTCAACCACAGCTGGGTATCTGAAACCAGAACACATAGGGAAATGCGTCATCAAAGAAGACCTCAACCACAGCTGGGTTTCTGAAACCAGAACACATAGGGAAGTGCTTTGTCAAAGACGACCTCAACCACAGCTGGGTATCTGAAACCAGAACACATAGGGAAGTGCATCATCAAAGAAGACCTCAACCACAGCTGGGTATCTAAAACCAGAACACATAGGGAAATGCTTCATCAAAGAAGACCTCAACCACAGCTGGGTATCTGAAACCAGAACACATAGGGAAATGCGTCATCAAAGAAGACCTCAACCACAGCTGGGTATCTGAAACCAGAACACATAGGGAAGTGCATCATCAAAGAAGACCTCAACCACAGCTGGGTATCTGAAACCAGAACACATAGGGAAGTGCATCATCAAAGACGACCTCAACCACAGCTGGGTATCTGAAACCAGAACACATAGGACAGTGCGTCATCAAAGAAGACCTCAACCACAGCTGGGTATCTGAAACCAGAACACATTGGGAAGTCCGTCATCAAAGAAGACCTCAACCACAGCTGGGTATCTGAAACCAGAACACATAGGGAAGTGCTTTGTCAAAGATGACCTCAACCACAGCTGGGTATCTGAAACCAGAACACATAGGGAAGTGCCTCACCAAAAGAAGACCTCAACCACAGCTGGGTATCTGAAACCAGAACACATAGGGAAATGCGTCATCAAAGAAGACCTCAACCACAGCTGGGTATCTGAAACCAGAACACATAGGGAAGTGCTTTGTCAAAGACGACCTCAACCACAGCTGGGTATCTGAAACCAGAACACATAGGACAGTGCATCATCAAAGAAGACCTCAACCACAGCTGGGTATCTAAAACCAGAACACATAGGGAAATGCTTCATCAAAGAAGACCTGAAACCACAGCTGGGTATCTGAAACCAGAACACATAGGACAGTGCGTCATCAAAGAAGACCTGAAACCACAGCTGGGTATCTGAAACCAGAACACATAGGACAGTGCGTCATCAAAGAAGACCTGAAACCACAGCTGGGTATCTGAAACCAGAACACATAGGGAAGTGCGTCATCAAAGAAGACCTTAAACCATAGCTGGGTATCTGAAACCAGAACACATAGGGAAGTGCCTTACCAAAAGAAGACCTCAACCACAGCTGGGTATCTGAAACTAGAACACATAGGGAAGTGCGTCATCAAAGAAGACCTCAACCACAGCTGGGTATCTGAAACCAGAACACATAGGGAAGTGCATCATCAAAGAAGACCTCAACCACAGCTGGGTATTTGAAGCCAGAACACACAAGGCAGTGCTTTGTCAAAGAAGACCTCAACCACAGCTGGGTATCTGAAACCAGAACACACAAGGCAGTGCTTTGTCAAAGAAGACCTCAACCACAGCTGGGTATCTGAAACCAGAACACATAGGGCAGTGCTTTGTCAAAGACGACCTCAACCACAGCTGGGTATCTGAAACCAGAACACATAGGGCAGTGCTTTGTCAAAGAAGACCTCAACCACAGCTGGGTATCTGAAACCAGAACACATAGGGAAGTGCTTTGTCAAAGACGACCTCAACCACAGCTGGGTTTCTGAAACCAGAACACATAGGGCAGTGCTTTGTCAAAGAAGACCTCAACCACAGCTGGGTATCTGAAACCAGAACACATAGGGAAGTGCTTTGTCAAAGAAGACCTCAACCACAGCTGGGTTTCTGAAACCAGAACACATAGGGCACTGCCTCACCAAAAGACGACCTCAACCACAGCTGGATATCTGAAACCAGAACACACAGGGCAGTGCATCATCAAAGAAGACCTCAACCACAGCTAGGTATCTGAAACCAGAACACATAGGGAAGTGCTTTGTCAAAGAAGACCTCAACCACAGCTGGGTTTCTGAAACCAGAACACATAGGGCACTGCCTCACCAAAAGACGACCTCAACCACAGCTGGATATCTGAAACCAGAACACACAGGGCAGTGCATCATCAAAGAAGACCTCAACCACAGCTAGGTATCTGAAACCAGAACACATAGGGAAGTGCTTTGTCAAAGAAGACCTCAACCACAGCTGGGTTTCTGAAACCAGAACACATAGGGAAGTGCCTCACCAAAAGACTACCTCAACCACAGCTGGATATCTGAAACCAGAACACATAGGGCACTGCCTCACCAAAAGACGACCTCAACCACAGCTGGATATCTGAAACCAGAACACACAGGGCAGTGCATCATCAAAGAAGACCTCAACCACAGCTAGGTATCTGAAACCAGAACACATAGGGAAGTGCCTCACCAAAAGACTACCTCAACCACAGCTGGATATCTGAAACCAGAACACATAGGGCACTGCCTCACCAAAAGACGACCTCAACCACAGCTGGATATCTGAAACCAGAACACACAGGGCAGTGCATCATCAAAGAAGACCTCAACCACAGCTAGGTATCTGAAACCAGAACACATAGGGAAGTGCTTTGTCAAAGAAGACCTCAACCACAGCTAGGTATCTGAAACCAGAACACATAGGGAAGTGCTTCCTCAGTTTCAGCTGCATGTGTCATGTAGTTTGAGAGGTGTTTTTAGCCCTGTGAGCAATAAATTGGAGCAGGCACATCCATTATCCAAGTTAAAGAAAATGTTAACCAGACAGCAAATAACTGTATGAGTGAATGTTGGTTAACATGATTAAAGCACCAGTCACCACCAGTATTACAGCTATGTCAAGCTATGTCAGCTATGTTTAACTGATGGCCTGATGGCCCATGTCAAGTTAAAATTGCAAAGTAAGTAAAGTAGATGGCCCATCTGGCTTGTCAAAATTACACCCCTTCTCTGCGTATATTTAATATTTTTAATTGGGTCATCTTGGTAGAATGACAACCAGCCGCCATTTTGTAATGTAGTGTACAGCAACTTCTTTATTTGCTCCTAAATTGTCTTGAAAGGAGGTAAAATAGAAGCCAAGATATAATCTAAGAGTGCAGGAAAAAATGTTTTAGGAGTGCGGAGTTCTAACATTTTCAGAGCCCTGCCAGCTGGCTACGCAACCTCAGGTTCAGCCAATTTGTGGCCTCCGCCATTTAGTTGTAGGTCAGTTAGTTTGGAGAAGGGCCAGTAACTTTTGAAAGGAACATGCACTGCTGGCTACATCAATTTTTTTGTTAAATATACCCCTGAAACAATCAGTCTGGACCAGGCAAACCAGTGGTTGTAACTAGAGAAAGTATGAACAACTTTCCATGCAATCTGGGGATGAATACTGGGAAACAGTTCAGACAAAGAACTGAACCACCCAATCCTCTTACTGAGGACAATTCTTACTTCAGCCAGAATTCTTAAGTTACTTTGCAATAAATGTCTCTACCCTGCCAAATTATTATTACCTTAACAAATAATCATTTACATCCTGAAATAGAAATAACTCTGAATTTACCTTTTCTTAAGAACTTCCCTCACAGAGGAGACCGTGGCATCAGTGGCTTTCTGGATGAGCTGGGACTCCGAGCTGCAGTCTCGGGACGAGTGACGGAGACGGCCGGCAGAAATATGCTGAGGTAGCATAATCTCTATCACACTTGCTACCACTGTCAACAACAATGTTAATCATATTCTTGCCACCACTGCTGTTATCCTTTAATCATTTTTAATACAGAGATGACCTTATTCTACTGAAACATGGTTAAGATTATTCTGTAACAATTTAGGGGAAGCTCGGTAGATGATGATCATATTGATCCCTATGTCCATATGTTCCAAATTCACCAAAATTAAACACTGGTATATACACAAATTTAAATAACCTGCAAGGAACTTAATCATATGTATGATGGGGGATGACTTTTTCAGGACAATAGTTTTCAGGCAAATATTCACTGATGAAAGTGGAATCACAAAACAGTGTGGACAAATGTACGGCAATTCATCTGTCAGCTATCAACACTACTCAAACTCACCTGACAATCTGTAAAATGTATGATGCCATCCCGTATGACTATAATAACTCCGCTTGTAGTTAATATAGGAATATGGTAATATTGATGTGACTTCACCACCAGCGTAATCTCCATCAGCACAGAAATCATCATTCCAGATGTTTCGAGCCTTTAACGTACATGTACTTTTACAAGCTGCCTCCTGTTTTTCAATGTAGGCAAGGAGACGATACAGCCATGACAGTTGAATGCTTGTAAAGGCCTGGTCTCTCCTTCTCTCATACAAAACATGTTTCATGGGACGAGGCATGCTGCTTGTCGATTGTTGTTTCTGACGGGAGCCCTTGGTTGAAATTGAACAAATACATAACTCAAACAATGTCGGCACATTTCGGATGTTGGGACGCGAGTTTTCATCAGAATAACCAACAAGATCTGCAACTTCGAAGTCAATGTTTTCAACATTTCTAAATGGAGCATCATAGTCAGCATATAAGATTGACTGCTTTTTTAATCTATCTTTCCGTCTCTTTTTCTGTTTCTTACTTGGAGCTCGATTTCTTCCCACCTGTGTTTGGTTTGAATTGGTGTCAACACTGCCAAACACACTGTCTGTATTGTCAGAAGACACTGAGGCTGCTTCACCTATAGCCTCGTAATCTGTAGACTGATTCAAGAGGTTAGTATCACTGTCAGATAAACTTGTTCTTTCTTCAGCAGAATAATACTCTGATTCATCGCTGTCGTTGGAGTTATCTCCCTTTGCTTCGTTTTCTGATGAAGCATCTCCAGCGCTGTCTGAGTTTGAGACCTGGTCACTTGTTGTTCCTCCAGGTGCTTCATGCGGTGTGATTTCCCAGGAGATCAGGCGGGCAAAGACTGGCCTCTGCCTCCTTTGGGCAACCAGTCTGCCCAGAGCAAGGTCTTCTTCCATGCTTTACTGAAACAGGGAAACACCTGATTGGTCAAAAATACAAAGTTGAAATAAAGGACAAAAGTATGCAATAATAGTCAAATGTTACGAATATAGTATTAAATGTTACTAATAAAGGTCAAAATACTAAACAGACAGACGCCAGGGAAAAAATAAGAAGCTGAAATAAAGGACAAAACTACGCAAAAATAGCCAAATGTTACGAAAAGACGTCATATGAAAAGAAAGAACAATGTGTACAAAAGAAAGTCAGTGCGCACGAAAGGACAATAAACTACTAAAGGACGTTGACCATAAGATGGCGCTGCAATTTGATAACATTTTAATCAGTTAATTGGCATGTTCCGCAGTGTATATGATAACTGCATGCCGAGGTGCACGATGTATTACGTCATTTAATACTTCATAAGTAACATTTGACTATTATTGCGTAGCTTTGTCCTTTATTTCAACTTTGTATTTTTTTACTGAATGGCTGCCCATACATTTCCCAGTATTCAATATAAAAGTAAAAGGAGAAACTTCAATAATTGAGTGTTATTATTTTTTTTATTATACTATCAACTAAATTTGATAACAGTTGTAAACATGGAACCCCAGTTATCATGTTTATCCAGAAATTACAAAATATGTTCATCTTACTATATATCCGGATATCTACACAAATCTGACTGGTGGTACTAGTTATTAGAAACTGACAGTTATCAGTCAAACATAAACTCAATATTATCGCATTAATTGTCAGTATAAACACTGCATATAATCAGTCTTCCTAAGTATCATTACTGTGCTCTATATCTATCAAAATACATACTCATTAAGAAGGCAGAGTCGTCCTTATCAGTGCCCTCCTTGCAAGTTGACAATTGTTAAAAAATAATCTTCGATTTCTATAGAACAGTGGCAGTTGCCAGCTATGAGTCCTGACCTGGTGTCATCAGTGCATTCAGTGATTCATTTATATAATTTTCACCGCTAGATCTATATGCACAAATAGAATCTGTTTCGGCTGATAATTAAGACTGGTTAATACATTTGCAAAGTTTCAAGTTCCAAAAGAAAGGTTTAGCACAAATTATATGTTAAACGGAAGTTGCTGCATTGAAAAAGCAAAAAAAATTAAAAAAATTAATAACAAAACAAAAAAACACTTAAAGGCACCACCACTTCAGCACTTGCCTGAAGTGTATGCAAAGTTCCATGAAAATATATTTTAAGATTTATGAAGTATGCTCCTGGAACAATCCCTACCCTCATCAGATTAAATACTCACTCCAAACAAAGTTGGGGATATGTGAAACTAACAGATGACTGCAGAAATACAAAGAGGTATCAAGTGAGGGTAATGGATGGATAAGCAAACGGAAGAAATAGTCGTAACATAACAATCAACAAAACATGTTGACAGTGTATTCTGTAAGGATGCAAACAACCAAGAAAGACGACAGGGGTGTCTGTCAATGAAAGTAAATCATGCCCCAACAATTGGTCAAAAATTAATTTATGCAGTGTGGCATAGTCTGAATCAATCTCCAAATGACAATTTGAGGGAATCTGGTCCACTCCACTTGCTGAAATTTGGCTAATTCGGCTAACATAGCAGGTTGCCTTTGATGTCTGTGTACTAGTCTCAGGACAGCAGTCAAAGCTGGCCACTGCATTCTGGTGATCTTCTGCTACTGGAGGTAGTCAGTTACGATAAGTGCGTGGTGGGCACGAGCGTTATCATCTTAAAAGACAAAACTTGCATGGACCAGCATGGCACGTAAAGGGCTGAACTATTGGTGCCAATATGTTGTCTCCTTAATACTGTCCAGTGACCCTTCCATCGACAAAATGCAGTGGCATTCATAGTATTTCAGTTAGGAATATTGATAGTTTCGATTGTATTTACCATATCAATAAAATACACACAATGCTGTTCAAATTTGTTTTTCTTTTGATCATGAGTGGTAGTAATTTAAACATGGTAATGTGGAAGTATCTTTTTCTTAAATTATTAGGGTAAAAAAAAAAAAATCAATCATATCTCAAACTTTACTTTTTATCTGTTGTTATCTGTTGTTGCGGTTATCCGCGATCTGCACAACAGGTCCAATTTAGAAGCATACCATGTGTGAAATATTGAGGGTTAATGGCTCTTTTGGTCAGAATTATTTATAATACAATATACATGCATACATACTTGTATTCAGATGGTCCACTCAGCTCCGTTGCTAACTGTATGCTAAACGCGGAAGTACCGTACCGTAATTTGCGTAAAACTGTCAACGTCCAGTGATGAAAAGCAACAGTAAATACCGTGGTATAACGACTGTCAGCTATTGCAAATTTCCGAGAAAATCAAATAAAACTTCCTCAATCTGTACATCTGTAAGATATAATCAGTCATCTACACAAACCTGCAAAAGCACGTTATTTGTTCGAAGGGTGATTTTCGTCTCAGTGGTGCAACAACAAAAGGGGGATAACCTTAGTCTTGTTTCTATTGCATACCACTAAAATATTTTATTGTTTCTTAGCTGTTTCCCAAATATGGAATTACAACACAAAAATGTAAGTACATAATTTATAACACAATTTGCGTTTGTCAACCAAACAATAATTGATTGTTATTTCTGTTGAAAACATGTCACAAAAAGGTTTTAGTTAATATATGGTGTTTTTTTCATACACATGAATAGGATTTCAAGTATGCTTTAAAAAGGGTGGCGTGTGCATCAACACCTGGATCCTGTGCACCCAAGTGTTAATGTCTTAATCCTCCCACACAAATTCAAAGCCAACATGCCGAGAAAAAAATGTTCAAAGGGGCGTTACACCTAACTTTCAGATTCACTCACTAAAATCTCTAAGGGGCGGGACATTTGATACTTGGAGGTGGGTCATGTTTTCTTTTCTTCATTTTGAGAGACTGAGATTTATTTTTTTCATAAAAGAGAGCTGAGATTTTTTAACGTCAAATTTCAAATTTAACATATGGAAAGAATGTTAAAATGTTCTCACTGTTCACTAAAACAGTCCAGATGTAGTTTTTTTTAAAACAGCACATTGAAAATAGCAGTATAAAAAAGTATTTGTATGTGGAAAAAAACCAACACCATGTGGAGGAACAGCCAAGAGTGCAATTGTATCCAAGTAGGCATTAAATCTAGTCTCTTCTAGCATGTGTACATTTCAAGAAGTCATCACAGTGCTACAGCTGTCATTCTAACAACACCAGCATTCACTCAGTCATAGTGCTAACTCGATGTGTGTAACATCGTCTCTGGAGGAGCAGATCCAACACCTATATATGAAGATGGTTACACTGACACACACCCCAAAACATAACACAGACGCTGTTACTCATCCCTTCCTCCCGATGCTTAGTGTAGGATAAAGCATGTCCGAGGGTTTTTATGATATTTAAAACTGATGGTCATCAGCCTGAGGGGAAGTGTTTTATCTAACTTATGAACCGAAAAATGAAACTTAAAACAACATTTATCAACATTTTTATGTTTCAAACATATAACAACGCTTGTGGTCTGACGTTGATTAATGAATAATTTGCACACTTGTATATGCAAGGGGCCAACGTATGGTTCTCTGTAGGAAGTGACAACTTGGAGACGATGGCTTGCGGTATATACAGTTTTATTTTATACATGTAGATATATACATACAAAAGACACTATGTGGCAGGTCAGCACATAGTGTTAGTGGTTGTTGTCTTGGTTCCCCGGAGCACCCAGCCTAACCCTAGCTAGGCTAAGGGTAAGAGCTTTCTTTTCTCCTTCTCACTTACTTATATTGGAGATTTTACGTGCGCTTTCCGACTGCAGCGTATTTTCGCTCCTTCTCTCTGGTCCAAGGCTTATATAGCCAAGGTCACCTGACATTTAGTAAGTTATAAATATAAATGTAAACAGTAAATCATCAGTGACATACTTGCACATCTCATTCAGGATGGCAGACGGTCGATGTACACAAAAATGGGGATTAACAAATAGGATTAGCATCTTATAAATAACAGCAATTAAGTGTTTCAAGGCATAAAGATGTCATGGTTCCAGGGTAATCAGCCTTTGCAATTAAATGTTCTTCAGACAATGGGTGTCGTAAATCAGTCGCTATGACACATACTTTCTATGAACCAAAGGAAACAGGCATAAAATATCTGTTGCTGGCGTAGTGTGCTTGAAAAAGACATTCTTAAAAGCATTGTGATTTGTCAGCGCTTCCTTAGCCTAGTGGTACTCTCACTGGACTATAAGAAGGTTGCGTGTTCGATCCTCGGGAATATATAAAGCAAACATTTGTCATTTTATTTTACATTTCCACCTGTGAAGATCCGGGGTAGAATAGGTCTTCAGCAACCCATGCTTGCCGTAAAAGGTGACTATGTTTGTCATAAGAGGTGACTAAAGGGATCGGGTGGTATGGCTCGCTGACTTGGTTTGATGCATGTCATCGATCCCAATTGCGTGGATCGATGCTCATGATTACAATCACTTGATTGTCTGGTCCAGACTCGATTATTTACAGACCGCCGTCATATAGCTGGAATATTGCTGAGAGTAGCGATAAACAACAAACCAACCAACCAAATTTTACATTTCATCACATTGTGTTCAAAAGCAAAATAAATTTCTAGCAATCTAAACGGAAGTTGTAATCATAAAATCCCCGCGGTATTATAGCATAATATAGAGCAAATATGCCTTTGATAACATATAAGATCCCGGGGATATTACAACATCTCTGTTTATGAGATTTAACCAGACAGGAAAACAATAGCATGATACCACTGGAGGTTTATAACTGCTGGCATTGTCTACTGGTACATGTTTAAAAAGTAGCATTCCTCAGAGCAATCATTTGCTATTCCTTCATTATTGAAATTGATTCTGATGATTTAATTACGAGTGGTGCTGTCATAATATACCCATGGTCCCACATGCTGTTCATAAATTCTGGTATGCTCTGTTCTGTAGCCCTGGACACAGGGGTATAGTCATTATAGTTTTTTACTTCTGTATAATGTCCTTAAATCTACTGCTGACAGTTCCTGTTATTCACAGGTTGCTGACAGTTCCTGTTATTCACAGGCGTACACCTATAATCCCCTGATGGCCAGTCTGTGACAGTTCCTGTTATTCACAGGCATGCACCTATAATTCCCTGATGGCCAGTCTGTAACAGTTCCTGTTATTCACAGGTGTACACCTATAATTCCCTGATGGCCAGTCTGTGACAGTTCCTGTTATTCCCAAATGTACACCAATGATCCCCGATGACCAGTCTGTGACAGTTCCTGTTATTCACAGGCATGCACCTATAATTCCCTGATGGCCAGTCTGTGACAGTTACTGTTATTCACAGGCATGCACCTATAATTCCCTGATGACCAATCTGTCACAGTTCCTGTTATTCACAGGCATGCACCTATAATTCCCTGATGGCCAGTCTGTAACAGTTCCTGTTATTCACAGGCGTACACCTATAATTCCCTGATGGCCAGTCTGTGACAGTTCCTGTTATTCACAGGCATACACCTATAATCCCATGATGGCCAGTCTGTGACAGATCCTGTTATTTTAAGGTCTACACCTATAATCCCCTCATGACCAGTCTGAGACAGTTCCTGTTATTCCCAGGTGTACACCTATAATCCCCTCATGACCAGTCTGTGACAGTTCCTGTTATTCACAGGCATACACCTATAATACCCTGTTGGCCAGTCTGTGACAGTTCCTGTTATTCACAGGCATGCACCTATAATTCCCTGATGGCCAGTCTGTAACAGTTCCTGTTATTCACAGGTGTACACCTATAATTCCCTGATGGCCAGTCTGTGACAGTTCCTGTTATTCCCAAATGTACACCAATGATCCCCGATGACCAGTCTGTGACAGTTCCTGTTATTCACAGGCATGCACCTATAATTCCCTGATGGCCAGTCTGTGACAGTTACTGTTATTCACAGGCATGCACCTATAATTCCCTGATGACCAATCTGTCACAGTTCCTGTTATTCACAGGCATGCACCTATAATTCCCTGATGGCCAGTCTGTAACAGTTCCTGTTATTCACAGGCGTACACCTATAATTCCCTGATGGCCAGTCTGTGACAGTTCCTGTTATTCACAGGCATACACCTATAATCCCATGATGGCCAGTCTGTGACAGATCCTGTTATTTTAAGGTCTACACCTATAATCCCCTCATGACCAGTCTGAGACAGTTCCTGTTATTCCCAGGTGTACACCTATAATCCCCTCATGACCAGTCTGTGACAGTTCCTGTTATTCACAGGCATACACCTATAATACCCTGTTGGCCAGTCTGTGACAGTTCCTGTTATTCTCAGGCGTACAACTATAATCCCTTGATGGCCAGTCTGTGACAGTTCCTGTTATTCACAGGTGTACATCTATAATCCCTGATAGACAGTCTGTGACAGTTCCTGTTATTCACAGGCATACACCTATAATTCCCTGATGGCCAGTATGTGACAGTTCCTGTTATTCTCAGGTGTACAACCATAATCCCTTGATGGCCAGTCTGTAACAGTTCCTGTTATTCACAGGCGTACACCTATATTCCCTGATGGCCAGTATGTGACAGTTCCTGTTATTCTCAGGCGTACACCCATAATCCCTTGATGGCCAGTCTGTGACAGTTCCTGTTATTCACAGGCGTACACCTATATTCCCTGATGGCCAGTCTGTGACAGTTCCTGTTATTCACAGGTGTACATCTATAATCCCTGATAGACAGTCTGTGACAGTTCCTGTTATTCACATGTGTACACCTATAATCCCTGATAGACAGTATGTGACAGTTCCTGTTATTCTCAGGCATACACCCATAATCCCTTGAAGGCCAGTCTGTGACAGTTCCATTTATTCACAGGTGTACACCTATAGTCCCATGATGGCCAGTCTGTGACCGTTCCTGTTATTCACAGGTGTACACCTATACGCTCCTATTGGCCAGTCTGTGACAGTTCCTGTTATTCTCAGGCCTACACCTATTATCCCCTGATGGCCGGTCTGAGACAGTTCCTGTTATTCACAGGCGTACACCTATAATTCCCTGATGGCCGTCCCTCATAAACACGTGCCAACCCCTCCTGCCACATTCAGAATCTGTGTTTGCCTCATCCTCTTGACCCTTCAAGTACTCCACACAGAAACATCTTGGTCCCGGTCCAAGGAAGGGCAGCACCCCTAGGATCTTCCCGTGACCATCGTAGTGGAACACATGCTCTCTGTAGAAATTGTCTTCACCTTCCTTTTGAACAGTGACTGATACCAGAAAGTCAACTGAAATAAGGAAAATAACAAGTCACCACAATATCACTTACGAAATAACAAAACCAGAAGTTATCATCAGGTCACATTCTGAAAACCAGGGCATAAAAAATGTCAAAGATGAACATTCAGTCTAACTGTCATTGTTCTACATGAGTGAGTGTGTTTTTTACTGCCTTTAGCAATCATCCATATATTTTATGACAGGGGACACAGGCTTCACAGATGCATTGTACTCATGTGGGGAATCAACCAAGGTTTTAAAAAACCCAGCATGCACCTAGGGAACCTTGATGGTTAGTTTGTTTGTTTGTTTGTTTGTTTGTCCCTTAACGCCAGCACTATTCCAGCTATATGATGGTGACATGTAAATAATCAAGTTCGGACCAGACAATCCAGTGATTGACATTATGAGTATCCATCTACGCAATTGGGATACAATGACATGCATCAACCAAGTCAGTGAACCTGAGCAAGCATGGGTTGCTGAAGACCTATTCCCTCACAGATATTCACGGAGTAAGGCAAGCATGGTATTCTGAAGACCTATTCTAACCTGGAACATCATGGAGGGAGACAAGCATGGGTTGCTGAAGACCTATTCTAACCCCGATCTTAATGGAGGGAGACAAGCATGGATTGCTGAAGACCTATTCTAACCAAGATGTTAATGGAGGGAGGCAAGCATGGGTTGCTGAAGACCTATTCTAACCTGGAACATCATGGGGGGAGACAAGCATGGATTGCTGAAGACATATACTAACCCCGATGTTAATGGAGGGAGACAAGCATGGGTTACTGAAGACCTATTCTAACCTGGAACATCATGGAGGGAGACAAGCATGGATTGCTGAAGACCTTTACTAACCCCGATGTTAATGGAGGGAGACAAGCATGGATTGCTGAAGACCTATTCTAACCAAGATGTCAATGGAGGGAGGCAAGCATGGGTTGCTGAAGACCTATACTAACCCAGATGTTCATGGAGGGAGACAAGCATGGATTGCTGAAGACCTATTCTAACCTGGAACATCATGGAGGGAGACAAGCATGGATTGCTGAAGACCTATACTAACCCCGATGTTAATGGAGGGAGACAAGCATGGATTGCTGAAGACCTATTCTAACCAAGATGTTAATGGAGGGAGGCAAGCATGGGTTGCTGAAGACCTATTCTAACCTGGAACATCATGGAGGGAGACAAGCATGGATTGCTGAAGACCTATACTAACCCCGATGTTAATGGAGGGAGACAAGCATGGGTTACTGAAGACCTATTCTAACCTGGAACATCATGGAGGGAGACAAGCATGGATTGCTGAAGACCTATACTAGCCCCGATGTTAATGGAGGGAGACAAGCATGGATTGCTGAAGACCTATACTAACCAAGATGTTAATGGAGGGAGGCAAGCATGGGTTGCTGAAGACCTATACTAACCCAGATGTTCATGGAGGGAGACAAGCATGGATTGCTGAAGACCTATTCTAACCCAGATGTTCATGGAGGAAGACAAGCATGGATTGCTGAAGACCTATTCTAAACCAGATGTTAATGGAGGGAGACAAGCATGGATTGCTGAAGACCTATTCTAAACCAGATGGTAATGGAGGGAGACAAGCATGGATTGCTGAAGACCTATTCTAAACCAGATGTTAATGGAGGGAGACAAGCATGGAATGCTGAAGACCTATTCTAACCCAGATGTTAATGGAGGGAGACAAGCATGGAATGCTGAAGACCTATTCTAACCCAGATGTTAATGGAGGGAGACAAGCATGGATTGCTGAAGCCCTATTCTAACCCCGATGTTAATGGAGGGAGACAAGCATGGATTGCTGAAGACCTATTCTTACCCAGATGTTAAAGGAGGGAGACAAGAATGGATTGCTTAAGACCTATTCTAACCCAGATGTTAATGGAGGGAGACAAGCATGGATTGCTGAAGACCTATACTAACCAAGATGTTAATGGAGGGAGACAAGCATGGATTGCTGAAGACCTATTCTAACCCAGATGTTAATGGAGGGAGACAAGAATGGATTGCTGAAGACCTATTTTAACCCCGATGTTAATTGAGGGAGACAAGCATGGATTGCTGAAGACCTATTCTAAACCAGATGTTAATGGAGGGAGACAAGAATGGATTGCTGAAGACCTATTCTAAACCAGATGTTCATCGATCGGACCGTAGATGTGACACTTTAGGTTTACAATCTGGGGTGACTTTAGAGCACATATTTGTTATTGCTATAGTTCTGGGATAGCTAAGGACACTGCTGTGATACTACTGCAATATTGATAAACTTATTGCAATAGTATCATTATAGTTGGGAAGTACTTGCATCAGTATTTTCTTTTATTATTTTATGTAAACTCATCTTTAAATCTTTTTGTATATTCCTGTATTTTTACACCCCATATAAGGTCATGTTCTATTTACCATCTTCTCTGACAGTGCAGACCTCTGTTGCAACTCCAGGAACCAAAAGGTCCATGACAATCTCTACAATCTCTGTGACATCCATAAACATCAGCATGGCACCGATGCCGACTGCAAGTCTGGTTTTCTCCTCCAGTTTTTTCATCTCCAGGATCCTGACTGGAGATCCTGGCAGGAAGCTGATGTAGCGGCCATCCTCACTCACCTCCAGGCTGCTGCTGTGGACAGAATTAAGCAAATTCAATGCAAAATGTCAGCATTAAAATATTTCATCTGTTAAATATGATCACATTAATACAATATATGCACAGTTCATATTCCTAAATGTCACTGTTTATGTTTCATAATGCCCTTGCTTTGAAGATGATTACCATTGTTGCTACAGGGCAATGCCTACCTCTCTTGTTGAAGGGTAACATTCAGCATTTGCAGTGTGTCAGGATGTAGGAAGTAGATGGCGTTGTCTGTTACAGCCATGACTTTCTCTCCTCCAAACAATAGAGTTCTTATTTTAGGGAACTCATCACTGAGAACCTCATCGTCTGTTATAGGGTCACATCTGACTCTGAAGCAAAGATCACATCAAAATGAAAGAACACACATCCTAATCACATGACCATTCACATTACTAGGCCTACCTTCAAAATGTCTTCAAATTTTCAGCTGAAAGGTAATCCAAACCTATTCAGTACCTTCTTTTGTGAGAAATTCTTCAAGTAAAACAATGAAACATTTTGCGAACAACCGTGTGTCATTATTTCCAAAACTTGGTACAAGTTCAGAGTTTAGGAGCAATCTGCTAAACTTATGTAATGTATTTTTTGGACAAAATGAACTGTATAAGCTTTATTAAAACACCACAACTTGCAAATCATAAATCACGCTGCATTACATTGAAAAATGACCCAAAAAATATTGAGTGATTGGGTGTTGTTTTTCAGTATTTTGTAAATATAAATCCATGATGACCCTATGGAGATTTTGACATAAGATCTCCAGCAAGCTATGCTTATCCTTAGAGCTGACTAAATGGATCAGGTGTTCAGGCTACAAAAAGTTTTGTGACTTGCTTGATTCTGTATCATCGCACTGATGATTGTTGTTTAATGCCACAGTCTGCAATATTGCAGCTATAAGATGGCGGCCTGTATATATTTGAGTCTGGACCAGACTAACCAGTCACTGGTATAATGATTAATATTCAACATCTTTGGCGTGCGATGCTGCACAATCAACTCATTAAGTCACCTGTTGGATTAACTCAGATTTTTTTTATCCTCTGACATTTAATGAAAACACAATAAAGGCAAATGTTTGCAATTTTTTAGTCAGAACAGAAGCCTTCATGTGAAAAACATTGCTCTTCTTTGTGGGCAGTCAACATTAACCATCTACACCAACCTGAGTTTGTCCGCTGTGAGGCCATACAGCTTACTCCCAAGAACATGTGGTGCCACCATTTGATTGTCTGAGATGGTTTTTAGCAACTTTCCTTTCTTGCCAAAAACATATTGCTTCCTGAAATTCACAAAGCATATATGGTCATGTTTTACCAATAATCTCTAATACTTTATTACCTTGCTGTTATTTGCAAAGTTTCTAGTTCTTCCTGCATGTTGTAAGAGGCAATCCATTCCATGTGGCATCTTTCAGAGGCAAGGGACTATATAAGTACAGTCTCCACTCCACTCCATAAATAACCCTGTATATTTGATTTATACACTCTCATAAATGACAGGTCGAGTTGCACAGTGATTTCAAAATCATACCAGGAAATATCCTTAATTATCTCAAACTGTCTTTGTGAAGAGATTGAGTACCTGTGATTTTTATACTCCTTCAGAATGCCCATGTGCCACATGATATCATCTGGAGGAAAGCTCCTGTGTTTACTGGTCATCTTCTGGGTCCGAATGCTGGACACCTCAGGGTCATCTATTTGGTCACAGAAGTCATGTGAGTGTTCTGTGGTCAGGAAAGGCTGCATGAAGCTGGTCTTACGGGAACAGTCTACAAACTGTAATACAAAGATGTGTAGTGTTTGGCATAAGTATCAAGGTGTCATTTCCCTAATGTTCAATAATATATATTGAGGGGTCAAAAGTTGTAGCAGAATATCTCAAGGCCCAAAGAATCATATCCTTGATTATGCAGTGTATTGTATCCCCATTCTGTTATGACAAAATAGAATTTATAAACCTACTGCCATTTAGTATTGTAGGTATCTTGATATCTCATAGTAATCTTGTGAGAGGGTGTTCAATCTCACATGTCATAACTTCAGTTGTCTGCATGCCGCACATGGTATTTCTCTCACCTACTTCAGCCCTTGGGGTTTTCCCACTCAAGGTTTTACATTTTTAATCTCAGAGTCATGTTTTAACTATAAAGTACCCAGGACCTATTCTACACCATGACTTTTGAGCCCAAATCGTATGGCACAAAGCAACATTCTGTGCTCAGTTTGACATGTTAGACACAGGGGTGATGGAGATGGTGACCTCACTTCCATAGCTAAGCCATGGTTGCAAATGGATCCAGGGTTGTTATCATAATAGGATGTATATACAATACACTTTTACAATCGAGGATGCAAGGAGTTCTTTAAATTCTCAACATTGATATGTCTTATCGAAAGGAATTTTATTAATCCAGGGTCAGAACTAAACTCAAAAGCTTCAATTGCCTGGGTAAAGATCAAATGCCCTTGTAATGTTGAAACAATGGGGAAATTTGTAAATTTGTACTAGCCTGCAGGAATTTGTACAAGCCCTGGGATAGCAGGCTAGTGTTAGTTTCTAACTCTGTAATCAGCCCCATATCATATGTCTTTAATGAAGAAATTGCAATAAAGGAAAGATGGGGTGAAATGGTGTTTGCCCCACAGGGAGTCTGTGTTGGAATAGACCCCAAGCAAGCTATGCTTGTTGTACAAGGCGACTACAAGTTTCATGCGATCAGATTCGGTGACTTGTCTGGCTGTCATCGTAGCCCTATGACCTGGAACATTGTTCATAATGATATAACTGAATTACTGTTCAAAACAGAGTTAAACTCCATCACTCACAAAAAGGCTTTCATCAGATTTCATACTGCCTTCACTCCTCGACCAATTTTATCCCCAAAAAGTTATTTCTCGAGTGGTCTTCTG